ATTTTAAAATTTTAGCTAAGTTATATCATTATTTAGAGTCTTTTAGCTATTGATATAAGATAGAATTAGCTTGAATATTCAATATATTTTCTGATATGTTATAAGGTTTAAGGTTATCTACTATAGATAGTAGTCTATTCCTCATAGTTCTTTTTATTATTTGAAATAATAAATTTGACTATTCTCTAATTCTATTAGGACTTCCTCTGTCTTTAGAGTTTGTAGTATTTTACTTCTTAGAGTATATTTTTTCTAAGACTCAGATTGCTTTTGTTTTTCTTTGTTCCTTCCAATTTTTATTGTATGTATTTGGTCTAGAGATATTATGAACATATATATCTTCTCTTTATTATTATCTTCTATTTCAATAAAGTTTATATTTTATTTTATTTATTATATGAGTTATAATTATTGTTATTATTATGTTTGTTATTGTAGTTTTAGTTAGGATACTTTAAATCCTATATTGTTATTCATTTCATGGTAACCTTTTAGCTAAACAATCTTTAGCATAGTAACTAGGTTCATCATATCTAAAATACTTGAATAAATTAGACTTAGATTGCTAGAAATCATAATAACTTTGGGATGATCTAGCAATAGATCTATTAGTTTATATAGTTAAGGCAAAAGCAATATTAGTATAGTTTAAAGCTATTTGTTATATTTGTTTAGTTAATTAGTCAATCTTCTTTTCATAATTCTTAGAACCAATTGATTGAACTAGATCATTATCTATAACAAAATTAGTTCTCTGTTTATAAATTCAGGCAAGGTTAAGGATATTATTAAGATCACTAGAGTTGTATATGAGGATTAAAGAAGTATTTTAGATCTAATTCATTTTTTAATGTAGTATAGTTTTTAAGTATCTTGGAGATTTCTACTAGTCTCTACTCTTTTGATCAAATATTTGAATTTGCTGTAGTAGGTATTGATAGTTTTGCCAAATTGTTATTTCAAGTTATCAAGATTCTATAACTATTTATTCTTCTATCACTATATACAAAACTTAGTTTTGAATATATCTATGATACTATTCTAATCATTATTAGTATTGTTAGTAATTGCATGAATATTGTAATGAGTTTGTTGCTATTTGTTAGCATTATCTCTTATAAAGGCTAAAAAAATTTCTTTTTTCTTTTTGCTATTTTAGTTATTAGCTAAAGCAGCTTTTATAAAACTATTAAGCTATATTTGAGAGTCTTGTATTCTATCTCCATAAAACAAATCAACTTTTAATAAAATACTCTCTTTTTAATTAGCCTAAAGATAGTCAAGGATATATTGTACAGTTGCCATATTGCAGAGAATAGATAGTATAAATAATAATTCTAAATTGAAATCTTTATCTTTAAATTGAACTGAAGATAATGGAGATATTTTAAATAAATGTATTAAGTAGTAATTATCTAATATAGAGGTTTTAGATACAAGAATAACTATTAGTTTGTTAGATTCAGTTATTAATTCTAACTGATTACTAACAGTATCTAAGAATTCTATAAATGTTGTAGATAATAGGTCTATTTGAAAACAATAACTATAGATTGCTATTAATAAAATTTGTTTTATTACTTCAGCTAAATTTTCTAGTATTCAGATATATCAAATACTAAAGATCAATTAGCAAATAGTAGGTCTGGTAATCTAGTGTAGTAGATAGGTTGTCAGACTACTATGCAATAGGTTTGGGGTTCAAATCCTTCTGTTAATATTTTGAATAATTACTCAAACCTAGTATCTAACTTACAGTAAACTCTATTTATTTTAGAGTTGTAATCCTATAAATTATATTGCACCAATATTGTCTAGATATTGGAAGTATTACAGAATGTTGAAGTTGTGTTATATGAATAAATTGAGATAGGATTTATGAGCAGAGGACCTGCATAGTAAAATTCCAAGTTAGGTGAAGTAGTACAGATTTCAACAGTCATGCCAGTTAACGCTTGATCTAGCAAATATTTTTGAATACAAAGATATAGATTGAGTAAGTGCAAGTAAGTCTGTGATATTGGGTGTTATGGTAACACCAACTTGGCTTAGTAGCTAACTAGATTAGGAGAATTTGTCTCATAAAACATTTAGAAGAATATAGAAGTCTAAACTGGTAGAGGGCCACAGCTAAAACTAGGTTTGTACAAACATCAAATAAGAGTATATGCAAGCTAAAATGGAGATATAACATAGCATAGTTAGGTATCATGATACCTATCTGTTAAGGGCATTGAAGTGGGACTTATTTGGATAAGACCTAAGCCTATAATAGTAAAGTTTGTAACTAATATCAGCTTGGGTGCCTTCTAATATGAAGTAGCACAGGGTTTGAGTTAACTATAAAAGTAATACTTTCAGTAAGTAAAATAGGGCCAGAGAGTTTAAATAGGGAATCTTCTAAGAGATTTCAGATATGGCAGCTAGTGTAGAACCTTCAGGCAGACTACTTAAAATAGACAACCTAAAATTGTACTTGTGGCTAGTTGTACTCTCATAATATGTATCATTTCCAAAATTTATGAAATAATAAAGTTAGCTAATAGCATTTGTATAAAGTAAACAAAAAAAAAAAATTAACAAATAGTATTTTTACACTGAGGTAAATTAAACTGTGCTAATATTATTTTTAATCTTTAAAAATACTCATATGTCTTTTCTGAAAATGAGTATATAGATGCCATATAATGATACCATTTACAAAAGTTTCAAAATAATTGTAATAGGTTAGTTTCTAATAGATAACAGATATCATACGAATTGTTATTAGTTACAATATTTAAATTATTTATGTGTTAGTTATAGTATTGGATGATATGTTCTATATATTAGTCAAAATTAAAACTTATTCAATATTCTTTATACCTACACTTTGGCTCATAGAGAATATCAGGTATCTTAATTATTCTAAAAGTTTTACTGGACTTTCAGATTTTCCAATTTATATAATGTCACATTTGTTGCTACAATAGTTATACTAATCTTTTATATAGGAAAAGCCTGAATCCTTTTTTGAATTGATCAATTATATCTATTATTTTGGTGCTGTAGAGTCTTCTAATAATCTCACAGTTACCACTAAATTGTTAACCTGCTTATACCTCTAAAACAAACAAGAACAAGTTGTATTGATATGAGGATTGATAAGTAATTTACAGCTTGATGCTGATATGAATACAATAATAATAGAGGGTTTTATGATAGGCAATGAAAGAGACAAAAGACTGTATATTAATATATGAAGATATCAATATCAGGTGTAGTTTATTAATAACAATACTTATTACAGTGTATGAAAACACTACTATTCGTATCTAATTATCTAAACTACCTTGTCTTCTTTTCTGTAGGGAATTCAGGGAATATTTATATATAATCGCTAATACTAATTCCCACAATTAATAGTTAATATAAATAATAAATAACAGTAAAGAAGAATATATAAAATATAAATAGAATTATAAGGTAAGTGTTATAACGGCTGTTCTGTCAGAATCTACAGAAGCCAATAGAAATTCGTAATACTACCAGTACTTAAATAATCTAATAGTTAATTATTCCGAACTTAAGATAAGACTATCGGTAAGACGAATAAACTAATACAACATAATAATAATGCACCATGTACAGGTATCGTGATACGAATTAAGAATAGGACACAAATCGGGCTAGCTAATATACTATCGATAAATTAGGAACTAAGTTAACCGTAACACTGGGTTAATATTTTCTGATTTAGGTTAAAATTGAGCTTTAGAATCTCTTAGTTATTAATATCTTTATTTATATATAATTATTTATTATATAAATATAATAAATTCTTAATTAAATTACAAATATATTACTAGAATTTTTATTATGTACTAATTTTAAATATCTTAATTTCATTTTTAGTTTCATCTATACTATCTCAGAAATTTCTAACATTGAGCTATTTATTAGAATTTATACGTCCAGCAAATTTC